CTCAGAAGGAATGACAACATCGTCAAACCGTGACCCTGATATTGCCCAAAGTTGCTCCAGACTGACTTTGGAAAGTAGCTCTACCCATTATTCAGTCCATGCAAGTTGAAAAGTGTTGGTACAACAACACAGCCTTACCTCACTCCTGAACCGACAGGGAAGGGGCTCGACAGGCCCCCAATACACTTAACAGCACTTTCAGTACCAGTATATAAGCACAAATCAAACCAATTATCGATGTTGGAATTCTTTAAGTCTCAGGATCTCCCATAACGATTCGCGATGCACAAGTCAAACGCCTTCTTGAGATTGATGTAAGCTGCAAGCAGACTTGCCAGGGGTAAATCCAGAATGCTCCGGTCTTTGGTGCCTCAGTAGGTGGGCACGGATCCGTTTCAGAAGGATGTGGGTGAAAACATTGCCTGGTATGCTTAGCAGTATAATGCCACGGTAGTTGCTACAGTTCCAACGACTTCCTTTCCCCTTCCCGAGAAGGATGACCAATCCCCTTAACAGGTCCAAGGGAATGGAACTGGACTGCCAGATGGCAGCCAGGACTACATGCAAGCCCCGTAATATAGATTCACCCCCTAGCAGTTCGGCAGAGATACTGTAGTGACCATCAAAGCTTAACCAATGTGTCAAAATATTGTTTACTACTATTTAGTGAGACGTGCCGACGGAGCGGGCCGAGCGGTAAGCACTCTCCGAAATACGGGTCTGGGATAAATATTGCACTTCTAATTATTCATACACATATATTCCCTAACATTACTTTAAAGCACACAAAATGGTTTCACAATCTTGAACCGTAAAACTAACGCTCTCCGTATGGAAAAGGAACAGGAGCCTGGGCACAACTTGCTAAAGCAATAGCAAATAGATAAAAGAAAAGTAAACAAACTAATACATAAAAACTAATATGTAATATGGTAGTTTAGACAAATACATACATGACAAAAGTATAACAAAACCTGTGTATACAGCCGGTATACGCACCGTGCAACAATGATGATAATTCCAGAAGTGAAAAAATGCAGCTCGACTACGGCCTCTGTCTAAACACCTGTAGCAAGGGCTACTCTAGGCATGCAGTCTTCCGTAAGGAAATCTGGCTTACTGCTAGAATACCCTTGCTCAGGTAAATTAACCCTTGGACTGAGAGAGAGAGAGAGAGTACCTATAGGGAACAAGCAGTTAAGTTAGTACTACATTAGGCTTTTTGAATATTAAATGAATTTAAAAACCTTTCTAGGGATTAAGGACTGCAGTAAAACATAGGTTGAGAGAGATAATTGTGTTGTTCAAATGTCCATGGAGGTTGTCCCGGTGATTCCCCGCAGTGGTGCTCCTTAGTGGTCATGGACATCCAGCCCTACCACGAATAGCTTGGGACCCCCTTGATGACACCTCGTTTTCTGTTGGTTTCACTACAAAACCGCATATACCCGCAGCCTTCCCACCATTCAGCTTGGAGATCGCCTCCCTGACCTCAGTGAGGGTAGGAAGTTCCTCAGTAATGGGCGGGTCCAGTACAGAGATTGCGACATCACTAGCAAACAGAGTAACTGCTGGAGGTTCTACCTGAAACAGTTACCCAAAATACCCAAACCAACGTTCACTATCTGAGATGATCCGTTCATCCACTGAGTGAACTGCAGTCAACGGCAAGGAGGGCTTGGAGTTCAGTTTTCTCAGGGCTTGGTAGGCCGGACGAAGGTCATTTACTAGGAAATAACCTACCTCCTCAGCAAGATTCTTGATGTAGTGTTCCTTATCCCTTTTCCAGAATCCTAGCTCAACGCACCAAGGAACAGCGCAAATCACGGTTGCCATGCAGACGAGCCATGCGACGTGCATCAGTGGCCTCCAATGTCTTTATCGAGATAAAATTCTGCCTTGCCCTCGGGCATTCACCAGTGGATTCCTGTGCTGCATCAAATGTTTCACGCTTAAAGGAATCCCAGAGTACTACAGGGTCTGTCAGGCTTTCAGCACTGTGAACCAGTCAAAGATAGCTTTGATGAACCCCCCTTGGACGTTCCTCCCCCCTCTCTCTATCCAAATTGAGCATTCTAGGGTGGTATCATTTTAAAGTGGACCCATAAGGTTGCTACAACCAATCTATGGTTGGTACCACAGAACTCGACACTCCGGTAAATCCTGCAGTTCTGGAGAATCCTCCGAGTACTAAGGATGTGGTCTGTGTCCTTGGCCACAGTACCAGTATCACTGTACCTAGTCCAATGAAGCGGGTTATGAATATGTATACATACATACATATACATGTATACCATGATATAAGAGAGAAAGAAATGAGTGAGAGTGTCAGTTTTTTGTTTTTCCCTGACTTTGATGGGTATTGAGACTCCATTGTGGTTTGGCTGTTTATTGAGAGGAGTGATAGGTAGCGTGGCGTAGACTGTCTTGTGCTGTGCCGTTGTGGGCAAAGGGAGCCCAAGGGCATGTGCATGGGGAGACTCCTTAAGGGGAGGTCTGGTCAGCGCCGTGACCCCTGGTCAACTGAGCCGTAGCTTTCAAGAGTTGGTCGGGAGTCCCTAGCGTTGGGGACGTGGGTAGGTAATCCTTGTTCCTCTGATCGCTCGGCATACGCTTTTAGCCGTCGTCCTCGCTGGGATGGTGCTGGCGTTCTCTGAAAGAAGTACACCGAGGGCAGAGACAGGGAGAGAGACGGGAGGTCAAGCAGTGGGGTGGGGGAGGGTTGTGTGTGACAGCAAGGGCCATAAGATATGATAAAAATATATCATTGCAATGGCAGTGTTAATTCAATTATTTGCATGATTTTTCAATTTTTCATTTACTTTTCAATAATTCACTGTCCAAGGGTAGACAGAGGAACATGCTTAGGGAGACGATTGCAATAGTCCACGAGGACTTGCTTGAGTTGCAATTGCCTCAGATAGCAGGAGGTGAAAATCTATGAGATAAGCATTGTGCCGAACTACAAGGAATCAAAAGGTGTTGCAGTTTGCAAGAACTTGTCTTGAACGACGAACTTCCTTGGAAAAAAGAAATAAAAATGCAACAATGCAGAGTTCAGCAGTGCAGCGCAATAGTGCATACGGTATACGTCTGACTAATAATAAATGTTCTATCTCATTTCACTGAAATTGTCTATCACACGTCACTAACGGCAATTTGAGGCAAAGCGATAATGAAAACAGGTAATGCAGTCCTCATAGTTTCAGGAGCAACTCATTACATCAAATTTCTTCTCAAGAACACATGCACGATAAAACGTAATTCAAGGCAAGAATGCACGATTGGCGCAAGTCGACTATCATCTCAGAAACAGTACGCATGTAATTCTTGTGCAATTAACATGGTTTGTGCCGGACAATGTGCGTATGTGGCTGCACGAGGGGTGAGTAGACTAGTTGAATAAGTGAGTGGGTGAGAGTTATGAAATGAATAAGTCAGAGTATAGCACACAGGTAAAACATATTAGCGTTTAATTAGATTAGAAGAAACATTAGTAGCTAGATATAAAGCGAGAGTAAGAGTAAAAGGAATAGAATGGCTGGAGTTGGAATAAATAAGCGACGGAGTGGGAGAGGGTGGACAGGAGGCTAAGGGAAGGATGGGGTGGAGGGGGTGGGTAAAAGTATGGGTGGGTGAGGGGGGGGGGGAGGGTCAGGTATGCAGGGAGGGAATGTGGGTTGCACTCCATGAAAATAATCAAAGATCTGAGTGCACAAAAAAGAACATTCACGCTAATAACAAAAACTTAAGGTAATTGCAACATTAATCAACTACTATGTGAAATCATAAAAATAGTACATTAATTTGTATGTAAAATTAATGAAACGGTGACTGGTCTGTTGCATAACAGACTAAGGCTTGCAGAGCAACGCATGGTGCATGCAGGACAACAACATCAATTACATGTCCATACCCAGCTGGGGGTTGTTACCAAGGACCATGTAATAATGATGAGGTGAGGTTCGTGATTAAGACTGATTAATGAAGAAAAATGTTTCGAAAATCAGGTCGGCATACTAACGATTATCGTATGAAGGGAAATAAATGGAAAATCGTTAGGATAACCAAGGTAATTTTCGCATTTAGTGGTCACTTGTGAAAACGAAAATCACAAACAATATGAAATCGTAGTAGCTGTAAATATAATTAATCTCTAACACGGAGATAACGGAATTGAAATATAAACACAAATAACCTGAATGTATTTTTCAGTCGGGTGAGGCCAGATGGTAGTGGAGGGATATTTTATCTGAGTAAGGTCAAATGAGTCATTATCCGAATATTTGAGAGAGAGAGAGAGAGAGAAAGAGAAGGAGAAAGAGAAAGAGAAAGAGAGAGAGAAAGAGAGAAAAGAGAAGAAGAGAAAGAAAGACAAGAAAAGAGACAAAGAAAAGACAAAGAGACAAAGAGAGGAAGAGAGAAAGAGAGAGAGAGAGAGAGAGAGAGAGAGAGAGAGAGAGAGAGAGAGAGAGAGAGAGAGAGAGAGAGAGAGAGAGAGAGAGAAGAGAGAGAGAGAGAGAGAGAGAGAGAGAGAGAGAGAGAGAGAGAGAGAGAGAGAGAGTGAGTGAGTGAGTGAGTGAGTGAGTGAGTGAGTGAGTGAGTGAGTGTGTGTGTGTGTGTGTGTGAGAGAGAGAGTGAGTGAGTAAGTGCGTGAGTGAGTGAGTGAGTGAGTGAGTGAGTGAATGAGTGAGTGAGTGGGTGAGTGAGAGAGAGAGAGAGTGAGTAAGTGGGTGATTAAGAGAGAGAGACAGAAATAGATAGATAGATAGAGATAGATAGATCGATAGGTAGATAGATAGATAGCAGAAGAGAGAGAGAGAGAGAGAAGAGAGAGAGAGAGAGAGAGAGAGAGAGAGAGAGAGAGAGAGAGAGAGAGAGAGAGAGAGAGAGAGAGAGAGAGAGAGAGAGAGAGAGAGAGAGACATATTTTTATTTGTTATGTAGATAGTTTTGGATCTAGCTGAAACTTGTTTTGCAATTTACGTGGCAGGTCATTCA